ACAGAAACAAATGTCCTAATCTCAAACATTTATTATTCGGTACCCTGTATGGGACGTGAACATGTATCGCAACTTTCTTGTGCAGGTAACTCCACTAGTAATCCAAATGATTTATACAGCAAATGTGATGATTTGTCAACTTAAAATTAATCCATTCCAATTGGAACCGATGCAGTTATAACAGAGGGGTTATGCTATATAGTGTGGGTCCATACAACCCAGGGTGCCATATTTGAGCTACGACAGTTGCAAGCTTATGGTACGATCTCCTTGGACTGACTGACTGACTGAGTTTAGTTTTACGCCGCTTTTAGCAATATTCCAGCAATATCACGGCGGGGGACACCAGAAATGGGCTTAACACATTGTGCCCATGTGGGGAATCGAACCCGGGTCTTTGGCGTGACGAGCCAACGCTTTAACCACTAGGCTACCCCACCGCCCCAGACATTATTGGAGATAAACCCAAGTCCAGGTCACAATTTCTCGAAACAAACTTAAGTTTGGACTTTTTACTCAAATTTGAGAAAATGCATTTCCCAGAATGAACTGAAATCGATATTAAACTCAAACATAGCAGACAATTTCAGTTTCATGGATAGATTGCTTAAGTTGTTTGGGCTTTTTTTATTTTAAAAATGCAGTTGAGTAAAATTCAGCTGTTTCAAATTTTCAAACTCAGTTTGAAATTTGAGTAAAAAACTAAAGTTTGTTTTGAGATATCGGGGCCAGACCATATAGTTACCAGCTATATACAACCATAACCAGCTCAGATGGTGATCATTTCATTGGTAAAGGTACTAGTTTCAGTACCACAAAGTCGCAATGAATAAATGAAGTTAAAAGAACTTACTAAACTCTGCCTAGTTTGTTTCTGCTGGGTCTACACTGCCGGCGTTTGCATGTCACGCTGAAGACTCGAGCCGATTCCCACATAGAGAAAATGAGTGAACTTCATTTCTTGTGATATTGCTGTAATATTGGCTGTGCTGAACTAAATATTGGCGTAAAACCATACTAACTAACGCACACTAACTCTAAATTTCCACTTTAAGATATAGATGTTGCGTTTCTGAAAGATATTGTGTCTGTGTAATCAGGGCAAATATTAATTTCCAGATTTACATACAACATGGATTTGTAGATAGAGTAGGTTATAAATGACTTGAATAAAACTGCCTGGGACTGTCAAGTGGCAGGAGCGTAGCCCACCTTTAAGACAAGGAGAGGTGTGCAGCAAGGGTAGATTTGGCCTTGTCCCGTACAACTCCTCGCTTTCATACCTGTTTCTGTTGATTGTGTAACGAGTTCGCCCGAGTTTCTGCTCAATGACTTGAATAAAACAGCCTGGGACAGTCAAGTGGTGGGAGCGTAGCCCTCCTTTAAGACAAGCAGAGGTGTGCAGCAAGTGCAGATATGGTCTTGTCCCGTACAACGCCTCGCTTTCATACCTGTTTCTGTTGATTGTGCAACGAGTTCGCCCGAGTTTCTGCTCAATGACTTGAATAAAACTGCCTGGGACAGTCAAGTGGTGGGAGCGTAGCCCTCCTTTAAGACAAGCAGAGGTGTGCAGCAAGTGCAGATATGGTCTTGTCCCGTACAACGCCTCGCTTTCATACCTGTTTCTGTTGATTGTGCAACGAGTTCGCCCGAGTTTCTACTCGACGTGTTCCATGTCTTATGTTCTGGTTTATATCATGTAGACTTTTCAGGTCGATCGCTCAGTGGCAAGTCTCCATTTGACGCCAACAGACATGCAGCGTAGGTGTGTGGAAAAGTTGAACTCAGCTGGTAAAATGTACAAAAACGAAATCCGATTACGTACATAAAAGAATGCTCTCCATGGGTTAAGGTTTCGTGTTTTTCCGTCTCTGTAGACTTCCAATAAATCTACTTTTGGCTCATGTTTATCCGAATGTGACGTCACAGGCGTTGTCTGCGTTGTGTAGTCTGATTGTTATGTTGCCACGGACCCCGACGTTTTCTACCTTCGCTCCTAAATATGTGCAGGTATCTATGTTTGATTTAGCTTGCGGTTTAGGGGCCACTGAGATGTCAGTGATGCATGTCGTGCAGATTGTTGATAATGTCGTCTGTGTTGTGTTATTGTTCATCTGTGAGATTTACACATGCACATTTCTTGGAATCTGAATCCTTCAGGTCTGCTCAGAACTTAGTGTGCTGCCTCTCATACTTTATTCGTTTGCACTGAAACGTGCATCCGTGTATTTCAAGTTTCGTTTACTAATGACGTTTTCAACTGAAATACAGTAAGAATACGAGTGATGGAAAGAGGGGGAGGAGGGGAGAGAGATGGGTGTGGCTTGCGGCTCTGATAACCATTACGTTTCCTCTTTATAATTAGCTGTAGTGAGACAAAGAGAGCGTTAGAAACAACAACATTGTGACGATCGTAACTGCACTGATGAGGATGAATCGGTTGTAAAAAGGATGAATGCAGGAACTATGGATGTAGGTAGAAGGGTATTGGAAGCAGTGGTGGTAGTCACACGGTAGGAATCTGCTGCGACATGGACGGCGATAGACAGACATAATTAGCTGCATAGTAAAACTATTGGCGGTTTGCGACAGACAACTGCCATGCTTTGAATTGTGAATGGCACAGTCAAGTATAAACCGGAGTAAGACGTACGTTTGATGAATGAACATTCTGACGGAACTACGGAGAGAACTGGGTGGTGGTTAAATTCGACTGATGGACATAATGTTTTTTAATAAATTAGTTCTGGTGACAGAAGAAATTAAATAACGAATGACTCTGGTGGGCAGACACAAGGAATCGGACGAATGAAAGAATTGCGTATGACGGACACAGGCACAAAGTTGACCAGAGAATGGAATGGATTTAGTGACGAATGAGATGATGGGATTCAGAAGGATGGACAGAGTTTAGAGGTGGGTAGGAGAGACCGAGGGGTGGGGTGATTGGAGCACCGATAGGGCCAAGATACGGGACTGCTATTCTGTTGATTGAACAAAGACGTTAGATAGATAGGTATTCACTGATTGTTATTGCCTCTGAAGTGTTCCTGGCATCACGATATCTATTGTTATGTAACTCCAGCTGATAACGGGTGTCGTGCCACCTTGCGTGTAGGTGTGGATTCACTGACCGATCGGATATCCGTGTCTACATATCTTTACCTGCACTGTTACACGTACTTTGAGAGTCACGCAATAGCGTTATCATCCCCGGTGCTGTGTCATGGCGTTAGTTAATAGGCTTTAAACACGAAACAAAACTCACAGTCAAAATGCACTTGGTTCTCCATAGCAAATATTTTCATTTATCATACTGTGAGTTTTAGAGCAACATAACTGAAAACGTTTCCTTGAGGATTCGCAGTCTATTTGTGTGGAAGAGGAGACCTGCCTTGCCCACCCCAACAAGACTTAACGGAGTACGAGTAAATTTTCCCCAACACTGCTGCCTTCTGCATTACCCAGAGTGTCTAGATTGCTGTGTTCCTGGCAGCAAAGCCAGATACTCTCCCAATCTCAGTCAACAGATTAGGAGGTGCCAAACCTAAGGCACCAAGAACAATGGGGAATTATTGGTACTTGGGATGCAAAGGAGACACTTCATGAACGCGGTCTTTCCAGAATCGTGTCATTCACAGTTGTGTCAAAAGGGACAGAGAACTCAGTGATTCGAATATTTCCATTTGTTTTATCAAAAAGGACAAGGAGAGGTTTATTGGCTTGGATACGTCTGAAGGTTGCGGTTGTGGAAATAATTTCAATTTGGCGTTCAATAACTCAGTATTGGACCGGTTTCTGGGGATTATCCCTAACTGGATGATGTACGTTTAGTTCAGGTGAATAATCCTCCATACCACAAAGAGACGTACATCATCGGGCCATTATTCTTTTTACCATTATTATTATAATCATGGAGAGATATGCATCGGGATCCCAAAGAGGTTGGGGGACGTTAAAAGTGATTGCAAACATATTCCTGGATCGTGTCTCGCGGCATACGCTGTGTTGAACCTTCCCCAAGGAGTACAAAGTTTGAAAACAGTTTCTTTGAACCGTATTGAATACCATTCATTGACATTGCGCTGCGTCATCTGTGGTTTTATAGCGTTTGTAGACATTCCCGGTGCTTTTGTGCACCTGTCACAGCCCCATCAAGGGAGGTAACCCTACCGACGGGAGAGATCTCGCTCATCTCACCTGGAGTGTTAATGGCGCTATTGCGGTTACTGGTTAAACGAAAACGTACACTGAGAAGCGGGAGCTAATCCCGAATGTGTTTCAATACATGTAATCCTTTCAACGGCTTACTCAAGTAGTGGGCAAACAATCGCATTGAGTTCAGCACAACATCAAAGTCCACGAATACTTTCCTCGCTTGTGACAGTGACACACACGAGAGGGTATTATCCCACGAGCACCCTACTTCCCAACGTCCAGCTATCTTCACGCTCGCCCTTCCCCCACTGCCCTTCCCCTCGCCACCCGCCTTTCCCTCCACAAGAAAACTCGATACCCGAAACACCACCCGCTAAGAGAGGCATCTTAGGAATGCTGCATGTCACCTGCCTTTCAATCCGTTGCCGCTTACGATTAACCTTTCACTGCTAGAAAAACTAATCGATATTTTTTTCATATTTTCACACCATACCCTCAACCTTAATGAATGGGTACCTGTTTTATATATTATTTCTGCTCAGCTTGGTTAGTATGTTGTCTATTTAACTAGATTAGTTTATGCAAAAAAAATTATCGTTTAACCTTTAGATTACCATAGGCTGTCCTGTTAGGATATTTCATACACAGGTCTATACGTCAATGTATTTCAGTCTGTAAGTTATAAATTTTATTGTATCAATTTAGTTCCAGCTGAGCACGCAAGAGCAGTTAATATTGATTAAATATGTGTTCATTGTACTACAGGTTAGCCTTGAAAAGGTTAATGCTAATACGTAACGCGCCCCCACTCAAATCTATTTGCTTAAAATTAGCAGTCGTACTCGTTAATTGGACCTGAAGCACTGCGGGTGAAACGCTACACTCCAGAGCATGTTTCCAACACAAAATGGCAGCGGAATGCCTTTAAAGTATCTACCGTAACAGGAAATTCTTGAGATGTCAGGAATTTATCATCAGACAAAAACGCCATTGGTTGTTGACACTGTGACATGTTAAACACGTGCGCAGAGAGACGGTTGAACTCCTTCTTGTTTTTATCAGTGGATTAAGGGTTGGTCGGTCTTGTGTGTGTTGTCCGTCGGTCTGTCCATCTGTATGTCCGTCTGGATGAATGTGGGGTGTTTTCATCCCTTCCCTGTTTATCCATGCATGATCCAGGGTTGTGTCGGGACAACAGGCGAGACTATGTTAGTGGGCCCGCCACTGACGAGCAAGTCGGCCTTCTTCAAGTAAGTAAATACCTGACTGTTTTAATTTGTGTTTTTACCGACACATTTCTTCTTGTTTTCCTGAATGTGTCGTGTTTAAAGTTGTACATACTCGGACATTAGCTTACTGGGCGGCGTTATATTGTATAAACTATATTTGATATGTAATCGATATGCAATAGAATATGTGTGAGAACATGTACAGGCATTAGTGGGTTTTAAAGTTCTGTCAATATCTGACTCAAGGCCTTTATGAAATATTTCCACGCCCTGTTTATCATTTTGGATATACATTACATTACAAGTTCACTTGGACATGGGCATGGTACCTCCTTTAACACCCTGAGGGTCGAAACAAATATATTCACAAGGGTGTCATACAATTTAACAATGTAACTTTGTATATGAATTATGTGATATGATTTAATACTTAATGCATTTTCTTATGTGAATGTGCTTTTGTGAATATGATTTCATACTTAATGAACTTTCTTATGTGAACATGCTTTTGTGTGAACGAAGAACTTGAATAATGAAATGACAGTTTTGTTATTCATTGTTTGACAAAAGTAGCTGATATATATCTTACCTCAAACATATATCGCTGCAGTTTTTTTATCTGAACGTCAGATGTGACAGCACCACGTGACATGATTGACCTGCTGTAATATTTATGTAGGCTATCGTATATCGTCAGTTGTATCCGTGGAGAAATATGCATACCGCTTTTTGTCTGGAGTTGAGTAGCAGTCTGTCGAAGGAGCTATTGGCTAACTTTGATCGCGAGGAAGTAAAAATTGTATTAACATACAGTTATCGTTTTGCAGTTTGCAATATCGCAAATATTGTTTAGGCATGTGATATACTGTAGACGTTATGCTTTTATTTATAAGAGTACATTATATAACAAAATGAATACGATGGTGGTATTGTCAATATCGGAGCTTCTTTCTCAAAAAACATTTCTGATATACTTTGGGAAATGAAGTCATATGTAAAGTTAAATTTCAAAAGGCGAACATCACTATGGGAGTTAAAAAGTTCCAATGAATGGTGTATTGAATCAAACTGACGCAATTTGACGTCAAAGTATGGCTAACTCATCAGTTATACTGATACAATATGACAAAGTACCCTGGCGCAATACGATGTCCAAGTAATACTGGCGTAATTTAACATCAAAATAAAATTGGCTCAATATGAAGTCAAAGTAACACGGACGTAAAAATATCCCTGACACTATATGTCATCCCACTATCATCTGACGTAATTTGACGTCCAGATACCATTTGAATCAATATGACGTCCTAGGAACACAAACGTAACGTCAAAGGAACCCTGACTCAGTTTGACGTCACAGCAGAACTGTAAAATAGACGTAATATGACGTCGTTGCACACTCAAACAGTGAAAATGAACAAGCATCGTGCGTTAGAATTGCTAAGGTTAACGTGTTCCACTTTGGAAAACCGACATTCGCAGATTAAACTGACGGCCTATTTGGCTTTTTGTACAATAACGTCTTCTTGTTACGGATATCCGGAGCAGGTTTTTATATGCCTTTTTCCTAGTGGCACTGCGATGTTTCCAGCAGCACCATTGTTACCAGCGCGCAAACACACATGCTCTAAACAGATCTATCTGTAAATGCTGGAGTTGTTGAAAAGGTATTTCCTCTTAAAGAAATGGCCCCATGTATGAAAGAAGAGGTCGGCTTTAAAAAGACATCTGTAGGCAATGTGGTATCTGCTGATTACATCATGTTTGCACCATATGGAGTATATGTCATCAGTATAAGGAGTATATGTCATCAGGAGTATATGTCATCAGTATAAGGAGTATATGTCATCAGTATAAGGAGTATATGTCATCAGTATAAGGAGTATATGTCATCAGTATAAGGAGTATATGTCATCAGTATAAGGAGTATGTGCCATAAGTATAAGGAGTATATGCCATCAGTATAAGGAGTATATGTCATCAGTATAAGGAGTATATGTCATCAGTATAAGGAGTATATGTCATCAGTATCATCAGTATAAGGAGTATATGTCATCAGTATAAGGAGGTCCGTAGTCAGTGCACCCACTGAGCATTTATATGATTGAATTTTCGGCGGTGGGGTAGCCAAGTGGTTAAAGGTGCGCTCGTCACGCCGACGACCAAGGTTCGATTCCCCACATGGGTACAAAGTGTGAAGCTCATTTTTCGTGACCCGCGTCGTGATATTGCTTGAAGTTTGCTAAATGTGGTGTAAACCCATATTCACTCACTTATAACTGTTACATTGTTGGTGCGGTCTATGATAAATAAGGTCATACTTAAAGCACTTTCAGCGCGGATCCCAATACATGAGATTTAGTTATACAAAGCCTCCTTTGCTACGACAGTGATAACACCCTACGTTTACACACTGTGACAATGGATGTAACGTATGTCTAGCTGTTGTGGAGACCAACGTTAACAGGTGATCAGCTGTGATGGAAACAGCAGACACCAGTCTCAGCAAGAACTAACCGCAACCCATTGTGTGATGGTGGAGGATATATAAGCGCGGTATTAGTCCGTACAGGTTCAGGTATTTATTGTATGTACACACTGCTGGCCTGATAACGCAGTAGATATATATATAGGACATGATCTTGTCTGTTCGTGTGTGATTATTCACAAAGTTACAACATCACTATCTTCACCATCTATAACTTCCTTATACAGTGAACCCGTTCACCTCAACACCAGCATTCAAGTGTATCTCTTCCGCCCAGGGGACTGCGCGTTATATAGCTTCATCTGCCTACATGTTATGTAGCTTTAAGGAAAACACCAGATGCTTTTGATCTGCTTTAAATAAGTTTATAGTCACATTAATATCTTTGCATAGATTTCGGCAATAATTTTGTGGGGGCTACCAGGATTTATGGTATAACAGCTAATCTTTTCTATCTATGAGGACGAATTTACATCGTGGGTGGGTTATTCTCAACTTTGATGTTACTCTGTCTGAGAAGGTGTCGAAACTTCAAAACGGATTTATGTTTCATCAAAAACTATACCACGTCTCCGTCAGGGAATTATCCGCCGAGTCCACTGGGAGTATAGAACCAAAGTTAGATACTGATTACTTATGACACCAGGTGTTCTCAAGAAAGGTAAGCATGTCCTTTCCCACCTGTCCTTAAAAGCACTCCTTGGACTTGACCTCGTGAATCCGGACACCTTTCTGCGGTACACAGGTAGATATGACGTCACATATACAAACCGTCAAACGTCACAAAAACTAAGTACGTCAATGCGGACATCTATTAATCCAATCTAGTTTGTGGGGACATCGCGTATTTACTGGGTTTCATTGACTTCATGTACACTTAATATCATTCCGTTTCGATTTATTCATCTATACAATATATATCATGTGTCTGTATCTATTTGTCTGTGGACGGTAGGTGTAACTTTGTTTGATATTATGAAACCGATAATCTGGACAATGCGATATTAGCATCCCTACAAAAGAAGATGCAGCCGTAACATTACGCTTCTACAGTCATCCCTGTAACACAGCAGTAGCACAGATAAAAAAAACTGTAACAATGACAAAAAATATCCAAATATTCTGTTACTATTTTAGGTGCGTAAGTATTATCAGAGGAATCAGATCCAGTAACGACCATCCTAGCATCAGAGTGGAGACAGACTTGTCTATCAAATACGCAGGACACTATAAACAGGCAATAAGGAGAGCATTGTAGAAGCTGGTCGCAAGTCCGGCAGACAGTCTGCCCCCACGTGCACGACACGCGCCAAGTATACTTAGAAATATTAGCTAAGACCACTCTTCAAACGTAGTTTGTAGAAAGAATCTTTTGTTCTCCATGTTAACCTTGCCCAAAGTAACAAGCTCGTGGGTTTATCAATGCGTGCGTGGTACGCATAATACAATGTCTCCCCTGGTAATAGCATCCAGATCGTCTACATTCTCAAGTGTACGGAATATTCATTTGAGAATTTGGCCAGTATGAAGGAGACACAGGTGTATATTGCAGTACCGAGTTTGTGGGCAATTTGGATAGCTAGGACATACACTATCGACTTGCATGTATAAATGTAGTTCGTCCTAAAACCTTCGACCGTTCGGTTTTGTTATTAATGGAGTTCTGGACATTTTGTAAAATTCTGTACTAATATTGGTTCTATATTTTTCAGAAATACACTGTGACAGAGGATACCAATGGAGGCTATTTTACCGATAACCTGCGTTCATCGGCTGTGCTTGACGGTTCTAATTTTACAAATGAAAAACTCAAGCCTGAGGATAATGGACAGCCCCCGTTTGCTCCCCCACCCCATTCGCCCGGCCACGCCCTTCCGCCGAAAGATGATGGGGGAAGGAAGTTATGTGCCCGGAATATCCGAACACGTGAAGTGATTCTTATAGTGATTGGTTGTGTGTTACTTATCGGGGCCGCCGTCGGCACAGCTGTCGCCATCATTCTGAGTCAGGCAGGTAAGAAATATCGCTTTTTTGCCATTCAGCATGGTGCACATCGTTAGCTCAAACACATGTAACGATATTAAGCAAAGGCACATAAACAGATTTCTATTTCAGGGTATGTCATAAATCGCTATATGTTGTTTCAAATGTCTGTTTCTTAAGTGGATGTCACATAAAAAGTGTTTTTAAATATATAGATAACTTGCACGTGTCGCACATGGCGTAAGTATCAGCACATAAATACATACATACACACACACATAGTGTATAAATACACACACATACACACACGTATATGTCCCATATGTTCAGCTACATGATATATGAGATCTTGTCATAAATCTGCATCTATGTAGATAGAATAGAGCTGATGTAATAAATGAACGAAATAGTGTCATAAACACAATTTGGTCAAATATTTAGCGTCATTCTCTTTGAATGTGACAATTGTCCAACCGTTTTCGTTATGACATTCATAGTTGACTTTGTACTACAGTTTATGTTCTTATTTCGCGAAGTAATGTTTCCATAAATTATTTGAATGGGAAATGTTCACAAAACGGTTTTCTAAAAAAGCTGAACAATTCGCTTCTATACTCTAATTGTCGCTGGTTTAATTTTTAAGATTGAAAGAAGAGAAAAAATTTGAATTAAGATTTAATCTTTTTCTGTTTCAAACAACACTATAATTATACAGCAATAAAAATAAGCAGGAACAATTTGACCTTGACATTGCTAAAATGATAACGATCCCTCAATTTGAGATGGCGTCCAGTTTTACAGCCTCCTGCTGTGAATGTTTATGTACGTAAACAAAACATTCCACACAGCCCTGCAGTCAATATAAAACGCCAGTACAAAAGAAAACCCAGCCAGAGCCCATATGATACTGGAATAATCTTGTTAAAACTGATACATTTTATAAATCACATTCTTCAATAAATACTGAGTACGTGAACGAGATTATATTGAGACCTTACTGTCAAAGTGCGGAATCCTTATCGGCATTAGGATCTAATGTAGGTACTCCGCTTGTCTCGAAGTGCGGTTAACTACGGTTATGTCGAAGTCCAGGGAACCATAAGTTCGTTTTATCCGTAATCATACGCATTTCGATTCTGATATACAGTCAGTTGTCGGGACATAAAACGTCGTTCGTTGTATATGCCAGTTGTGTGTTCGTTATATCTGCCAGTTGTGTGTTCGTTATATCTGCCAGTTGTGTGTTCGTTATATCTGCCAGTTCGTGTGTTCGTTATATCTGCCAGTTGTGTGTTCGTTATATCTGCCAGTTGTGTGTTCGTTATATCTGCCAGTTGTGTGTTCGTCGTATCTGCCAGTTGTGTGTTCGTTATATCTGCCAGTTGTGTGTTCGTTATATCTGTCAGTTGTGTGTTCGTTATATCTGCCAGTTGTGTTCGTTGTATCTGCCAGTTGTGTGTTCGTTATATCTGCCAGTTGTGTTCATTGTATCTGTTCAGTTGTGTGTTCGTTATATCTGCCAGTTGTGTGTTCGTTATATCCAGTTGTGTTCGTTATATCTGCCAGTTGTGTGTTCGTTATATCTGCCAGTTGTGTGTTCGTTATATCTGCCAGTTGTGTGTTCGTTATATCTGCCAGTTGTGTGTTCGTCGTATCTGCCAGTTGTGTGTTCGTTATATCTGCCTGTTGTGTGTTCGTTATATCTGCCAGTTGTGTTCGTTATATCTGCCAGTTGTGTTCGTTATATCTGCCAGTTGTGTGTTCGTTATATCTGCCAGTTGTGTTCGTTGTATCTGCCAGTTGTGTGTTCGTTATATCTGCCAGTTGTGTGTTCGTTATATCTGCCAGTTGTGTGTTCGTTATACTGTCAGTTGTGTTCGTTATATCTGCCAGTTGTGTGTTCGTTATATCTGCCAGTTGTGTGTTCGTTATATCTGCCAGTTGTGTGTTCGTTATATCTGCCAGTCGTGTGTTCGTCGTATCTGCCAGTTGTGTGTTCGTTATATCTGCCAGTTGTGTGTTCGTTATATCTGCCAGTTGTGTGTTCGTTATATCTGCCAGTTGTGTGTTCGTTATATCTGCCAGTTGTGTGTTCGTTATATCTGCCAGTTCGTGTGTTCGTTATATCTGCCAGTTGTGTGTTCGTTATATCTGCCAGTTGTGTGTTCGTTGTATCTGTCAGTAGTGTGTTCGTTATAAAGGTAGTTCACGGTATTGGTAACTATATATATTCGATTATCCCAGGGACTACAAAATAAACCAGAACTGGGATATTTGATATTCGCGAGGGACTGGGGTATTTGATATTCGCGAGGGAGTGGGGTATTTGATATTCTCGAGGGACTGGGATTTGAATTTGAGTGCTAACTGGCCAGTCCATCGTCTTATGTTGGTTCCTAATGAAGTGTATATTTTTCTCAAACAACTAAACCAGTAAGGCTTGTTCTTGGCATGCACGTTTCTGCCAATAATGGCACCAAACTGTTTACCAGGTTCAATAGTTTGATCTTTGTGAAGACAAACAAAACTTGAGGTTACACATCACACTTTCAGTTTTGTTCTAAGCATCATCATTCAAATCATAACTCGATGTGAACAAAGCAGGGTAAAATACGTAACTTTATCAATCTTTCTCAGAAACCGATATAGAAATGTGACGAAAATCTTATGGAGTTCGTACTTCAAATGTTCTTCAATTTGAACAGAGAAAGAACAAAGAAAAACAAATACAGTTTGCAATGTTTACGTAACTGTTGATGCGCGAACTCCGAGGTCAGACACAAGATAAGCTCGGATAACCATCTGATGTATCAGTGTTTTAATTACCTAGTTTTATAGCGACAGCGGGAATGTTCCCACGAGGACTTACCTAGAGGCCATTTCACAAAACATTGCATGAGATTGATGCAATAGAGTGTTCGCATTTTGTTACGGTAGTTGTCGAAATGTCAGTCAAAGAAGTTGTACAAGTATATTTCACTTTGACATACTTACGTCATATCCGGGCGTTGGGAGCTAATGCATTTTTTTCAGGATTAAAAACCCTTCTCGTTTTCTTTGTAAATTTACAGTATGCTGATGATGAATTGGTCTGAAACATGTCAGATCCCGGTCTGACTGAACTGTCATCCCAATAGTAACTCACACTTTGTTTCGACGATTAGACTGTCAAGCTTGGATGTTTGCTCTCTAAAGTATTTAATTACGACAATGTAAACAAATTTCAAAGTTCAAATTCTGTACTCTGATTTGTGCTCTGTTCACAATTTATAGCGAAATGTCATCATATATATATATATATGTGTGTATGTGTGTGAGAGAGAGAGAGAGAGAGAGAGAGAGAGAGAGAAAGCATTTACATGTGATTTGTTGTGAACACAGCTGATTAATAAATTCCTGATAACTCATGTTATCACACCTAACCCTTCTACGAGTTAGCATTCATATTAGCTGAGTAGCTCACCTGAACAGGCGGTTTATGGAAGCCGACATCATACCACAATGTCCATGTCCATCATCTCAGCCTTTAACCCGCTTCACAATACAATGGCAAGGTCTGTAAAGCTCATTTATGTCATGACGTATGTCAGATGCTCTACAACAATGTCAGGGAGGTATTCACACCGGAAAGTCAAATATCCCCCCTTATCATTCCTACAATTATGTGTGTGATTTCATAACCATCCAATCATTCGTCTGCCCTTCTCGTACCGCCATCTCAACTTGATGTGAGAAATGCAGATAGAAATATTAATACATACTTCTTTGCGAATTACAGTTAACCACGTTTGGGGATTAATGACACAAAACAAAAACTCCTTGTGTGAATATACGCATCACCTTTCTTGTTTCAAACTGTTACAAGCAACACGGTAGAGAATTTGATCGTTACAGAACGATTTCATACACAGCTTTACTTTCTTCGTGACAAAGGGTGAGCTGCAGAACCTAATTTTGGCGAGCAGTAGCCTTACTATTTCGGTGTTTCTTCTTTGTTGAATGCTCTGAGTTTCTGATTATTTTTGACACGTTGTCTGGCTGTAAATTAAGACGAACCAATCAAAATAGAGCCATTGTAAGTTAAACAATAGATAGATTGTTTTTAGTTTCTTTCTAATCTCCTTGCACTTGTTTCATCAGCTAGCGTTGCCACTGATATAACGTTGAGGCATGCACAAACTGACGGGTGGTTCTCTAGAAGCAAGAAAATGTGAAGTTATAATTTCAAACAAAGATTCCGGAAAACTGTTTCCCAAACTAAGGAAATTCCAGTTTCGGCCGAAGACTACATTCCAACATTCACGGCAATTTTTCAGCAGAATGCGACTTCCAACTACATATATCTTGAGTTTAAATCTTGTGCTGGTATACTAACAAATATCAGTATGATGAATCCAAACTGACAATGGCAGTCTGGAAGCGCAGATGGTTCAGCATCATGCCACTCAAAAGGCCCATCCTTTACACACAGGAAGCGACATTACGAGGGGAATCACTTTGTTATTTAGATCAATTTATATGGAAGGATATGTCCCGTTACAAAAAATGTCAAACGCCATCGACAGGATACCCGTTTTGTAATTAGGTCAAGGTCAGCCACACGTGTTAACCTTTTGTGAACGCACATAGACCCGATCACTTGCAAGTATATGTTAAAACGTCATAGACATTTTTTTGGGTGACAATTTACAACCATTTTGTCACGTGTTAGATTTCACGTACAGAATAATGTAAACTTAATACACAAAATATAGCTATGATTTGTAACGATGGGAAGTCCAATTGTTCAAGGTTATAAACACTTTCCTGGTATGCTTCATGCCTATTTGTCTACTCTCGTAAACATCCACGGTGACATATATTCTAAATGCCAGCATCTATGGATAAACCAAACAGCAATATTAGTTCGTGACATCAGAAGTTCGTTATTTGCATGGACATTATGTCTGACTTCCAAATACCTAGCTTGCATTGTTACGAAGCACATGTGATACATGTGGTCTCACCTTAGGCAAGTGGCTTTGCTCAAA